CCCCCGCCCCCCTCAAAAAGCTTTTATTTATTATTATTATTATTTGCATGCATGTTTATTGTTTCCTCAAACTGTAGCTGGTCGTTCCTTCCTTCCGCCAACAATACTATGTGCAGTCTTACTCACAAAATAATGAATTACCTCCAGGTTTGGGGCGGTCCCACATAGTTGCATGAACGTTGCTTTCCAACTCTGTTGGCCCAGTTTGGCCCTGCATTAGTGCTGCGCACAGCACAGGGACGGAGGATCAGGGTAAAACACGCCCTTACTTCTAGGGGTGCCAGGGCCTGCAGAATTAGAGCCCCGAGTTAGAAGGGCCTCCAGCAGCACCATCTACTTGCTCCTCCAGCTGCAACTATCTATTTCTCCATGGGCTGTTTTAACATGGCATAGGAACTCCCCTCCCCTGCCTGGGGATACTTCATTCCCCCATGTTGTCTGTTTCAGGGAAGACCCATTTTCAAGTGTAGTCCCATGAAAAGCCTACAATAAAAGGAGCTATCAGCACAGGAGTAAATGCTGACGTGTCCTCTACCACCAAACTATCTGCTCCAACCTCATTAAAAGAAATCCATTCCATTTTTCTGTGGCTTGTATTGTCACTTGTTAAGATAGGGCTGTTTACCTCGCTCGACAGTTTCAATACATTGTGTGCAACTTTTCATATTCTATTCCCCTGACAGTATTATCGCATAGGGTTATTTATAGGGTTATTTATCTTGAATCCCCAGCTTTGAGATCATTGTGTCTCTTCTTTCTGCCAGTAAGAATATTAATGTCATGTAATTATTTAAATATACAGAAAATGTGCTTCAATATTAACCTTTAACGCTGTTGGATACTAATGATTGTCAGTGCAAATTTAATTATTGCTAGAATACACAGAATTCTATATGGGCATTGATTTTATTGCTAAATCTAAATAGATTAATAAGTAATCAAAATAAATGTAAGGGCAAGGGGCTGCTCCGGAGCTGCTGGGATCTTGCAGCAGAGGCAGCTTGGTTGGGGCCAGGGCAGAGCCACAATCTGTACCCTGCATACTCTGGACTGGGGCACACCGGCATCAGATCCACAGCATGCAGGATACAAATTGTGGCACCGGCCCCGACAAGCTGCCCCTGGCTCAAGATCCCAGCAGCTCCGGAGCAGCCTGCTTCCCTGTCCTGCCAGAACGGCTGGGGCCAGTCTCCATTGCAACCCCAGCCTTGCACTATCACAAGGCAGCTACAGCTGGAGTTTCCATGGAGATTACTCCCAGCCATGCGGACAGGGGCTACTGGGAAATGGGATCCACTGCCAGCTGGATCCAACCCGTGGGCTGGAATTTGCCAGCCCTTGCATTAGGTCCATCCTGGAAGGTGAGGCATATATACCTTTGTGAATGGAAATTGAACAACTCAAAATATTGTTTTTCATTCAGAGGGGGTCATTCTAACCTCCCACTTAATCTTCTCTACAGCATACAAAAAATAAGGTATACTGATGTAAATAGATTTCTGCCGATATAACTGAATCCACACTAATGGAGTCAAACTATTTCAACAATAACTTTAGTTAAAGTGGCACAACTTTTTGTGTGTAGCCAAGGCCTTTAAGATTTTTTGTACACATTCCCATCTGTCTCAGCAAATTCAGCTACACCTTCATTTGGGCTGGTACACAGTGATACAGGTTACCAGTAGCATTGTCACCTTTTTTCTTTTGTTCTCTAGAATCACGGCTTTTGTTTATTTCTAATTATAATTGTTGAAACTACGGTCTGTGCCATCCATATGACGGTAGCATGCTACACCCAGTACAACATCTACAAAGGACAAAAATTGCACAAGGAATATGTGCAGGACTGCTAGTTTGTAGGGCCCATAAAAGCAACCACAAAGGGCAATTTTCATCACTGGAGGTGGGTACAGGTGAACAAGCTTTTAAAAGGGTATCTTGCTTTCCAGGGTGTCATGGCTGAGGAAAGTGATGCTGTCATAGGACTTAATTGTGTATATTATTGTGGTAAAGAGAGCAATTTATCTGCTGATTTGCAGTGGCATATTGACTATTGATTTTATACCACTGCAAAAGTTTGATACTATATTAGCGATATATTTGGTAGCCATGTTGGTCTGAAACAAAAAGAGATGCAACATTCTTGGTTCAGGGACAATACTTTTTATTAGACCAACTAAAAAATCTCAGAAAAATATCTTAAATTGCTCTAGGTGAGAGTAGAGTGGAAGAGCTGGGTTGCAGAGGTGGGAACATGACACTGGGAGTCATGGGAGGATGGCAGTTGTGGTGAAATGAAGTAAGTCATTCACTGAAGCAAAATGAAAAAATAAAACCCCCAAGAATAAAATGAAACCAGTGAATAAGAATAAAAAATAAAAATAAGAAAAGTCTCATGTGTTAATGAATTGAGATTGGATGGAGGGGGGAGGGGGCAGGGGGAACCAGTCAGCAGAAGCCATGCTGCCCCAGGGAGCTGGCAGCAGGGAGGAAAGACACTTTCCTTTGGCTCATTTTCTGCCTCTGGTTGATGAAGGTAGGTAGGTAATAACTGGCTGCTAGCATGGGGTCGCATCCTCTGGGGGAAAGATGGGGAGTTGACTTGGTGCCCCTTGGGCAATAGCATTTGGAGGGCAGGGGGGAAATTTTGTCCATAAAGAGTAGGAGGCTGGGGAGGGGCAGTGCATCCTGGGATGCTTGAAGACTGAAAATTAGATGTTTTATCTCCGGAGAGCAGTCTCACATTATTGTAATATGAGCTGAGTGACACGGCCAAGATAAACCTCACCCACAGTGACATAATAATTTAAAGTTGCCTGGAGGGAGCTTAGCACTAGTTTTTTACTTTAGCGTGTATGAAACTTCCATAGTAAGAGCTTTTAATATAGCCTAAGGGTAATGTGTAACAACACCCTGACGAAGGCACTAGAGAGCTTAGCCAGAATCCAAAATTAATACCACTTTTTTATTCCATAGCTGAATATAAAACAGGATGGGGAAGGAAAAGAACCTCTGAATATTTTGAGGAACCAGTGTCCAGGTCCCTGACTGCCTAGCAAACCTTCCTGCCTGCCCTCCAAGCTGACAACCCAAAAGGCCAACCCTCCATGAAATTGTTCACAGCTCCCTGGGGAGTTCACCAAATTGGCCAGGCGCTCAGAAACTTTCCACTGAAACAATGCAGGTCTATTAGGCACTTCAAAGTCTAAATCTCATGGTGCTTTTAAAAATGTCCTATTTCATTGTACAGTACATCAACAGGCTCTTAAGCTGCCTTTGAAAATGGAACTTAAGGCCCTATGTCCTTTCCAATCAGAGCCTGTGGCTTTTTTTCTTATCTAATTATCAGTGAAAGGGGCAAAACTGTTGTTTAGAAACTGTCTCCCCTGTATGGTGTTTGTTGGAGCACTCATTATTAACCTTTTACTCCCACTCCCATCCCTGTTTTTACATTGGTTGTCCCAATAATTTTGTTGGTACACATTTAGTAACCCCCTCTAATAACAGGAGGAGGTAACAGGCACACAATTCCTATGCGTAGGCTCGTGTATGGTGCTTGAAGCAGGTATACTCAGCATGTCATTATTTTTTAATAAGTATTATTATGGTGACACTGGAAATGTGCTAGATATTTCCCAGGTGCAATCACTGTTTACAGCTGTTACCTTGTGAAAATGACGATGTATTTTAGCTTAATTACATACATTTTTTTCCCCTTTTACTGTGGATGATTTACTTTGGGACCATTGCAGCTCATTTAAGAATTCCTTATTCCACCAGCCAGGAGTAGTTTCAAGCTGTTCTGTATTGCCTAGGGCCATACCCAGTCTATATTGTTTTACTTTAAATGCAAAATAGACTTAATGACAACTAAAAGGCATTTTTGCAGAGGTGCCATAGCTTGTAAGTAAAAGAAAGCATGATACTCCCCCAACCTCAACCCCTACAATTAAACCCCCATTGCAGAAATTATGCAGCTTACATTTTTGAGTGCCAAAATACCACACACATCAGATAAACAGGCTATGGATTGCAATGGATTGTTTCCTGCCAGAAATCCCCCAGAAGCAGCATAGTGGTAATATAACAAATTCAAACTAAAATCCACCTTCACTGCTGAGCTTAATACCTGCAGCTGTACTGCTGATTGCATCCAGCTGTCTTGTCTGTTGCTTCAGTATTTTTTTTCCAGTTTGTATTCTTTCACCTCTCTTTTTTAGAGTAAAAGCCTTCAGTAGGATTCATTAGGTTTCTTCTCTCTAGACACTTGCCCACTTTCGGTTATCAAAGAACATTGCTTTGATTTGTTTTGAGATAGAAATCAACATCTGAAAATCAAACATTTATGGTATGAAGCCTGCCATTTAGAGATGGACTTTTTTTTTTGTATTTTAATTCAGTAATTCAGACCAAGGCAGATAGTTAACTGATCCCACTTCTGCCAGGGCCAGGAAGCAAAGTTTTCTCAGTGGATGGTTTCTGATTGGGCCAATATGGCTTCAGTATGTTAAGTTTTTACTCAGTATTCTTTGTTTTGGTGATATGGCCCTAAGTGGCTAATGGGGTAGGCCTCCCACTTTTTCTGGTGAGAATTATTTTGATACTGAATACAATTTATAAATTAGGAAGATGATTGGATAAGGACTTAAGGGCATAAACAACAAAACCCTTTAATACATGCATAACTGTTGGGACAGAGTAATCCCAATGCTGGACAGGAGCTCCAAAGAGCTGCAAATCTTTTTCTTATTTCTATTTATTTCTGTCTACTTCTAGATTTGTGTTTTTCTTGTTCTAAGACTGTGCTGTATTAAATTCCTTACTCTATCAGGGTTTACTGAGAGAGCTTGAGGTCCCTGGGGAGCTATAGAAAGGAATACAGAATAATAGACTTTTTATCCATATTAAAGGTTTAAATGCCTAGTTTACATACATACAACACCTCATACTTGCTATATGAATAGAATCCTTCATCTCTTCCTGCTCCACTCCAGGGTCTATTACCCCGCCCATTTCACTCATTTATTAGTTCCTTCCACCCATAGACCTACTGAAATGTTTAGAAGGGGAGCCTGGCTTTTATCACTCATAAGATCTTCTTGAACAGAGTTCTCCACAGACCTTACATACTAACCTAATATGAATGATGACAATTCTTAAAAAAAGATATTTAAGAAGTTAAGTTTGAAAGTGCATTTTAGTGGAGTCTATTTATTCCTCAAAAGAGTCCCATTTTCTTTACAGTCCTACAACTTTATAATAACTTTCTTTTGAAGTCTAAAAATAAAGTGGGGGAGCAAACCAGTTTCCTATTGTCGCTCCCTGCCAACCCACCTCACCTTAACTTTTCCCAATTATATCCATAAAGGACCAATAGCATGTCACTAGATTGTTATAAAACCTTTACTTCTATTTAAAGGATCCACTAGTTTGGATAGAGATGATCTTGCCTCAGGCAAGGGGTTAACTTAGATGACCTCTGGAGGTCCTTTCCAGACCTACTTCTTATGAGTCTCTGGTTCACTTCCAACTTAATCCTGTCCATGACTCTAATCTTGTATCAAATCAATGAGCAGTCCAGTTGAGGCCAATGAGGTTTTTATTGCTATGTTCATTCAAAGCAGGACGGAACCTAATAAAAATAGAAAGTAGTGTGTGATGTGGGTCCCATCTGTTCACACATACAGCATGCACAGACTGTTAACCAGTTTGTCCTCTGAGAAATGCCTGCCCAAACTCTGGGCAAAAATAGTGGCTTCATTTATTTTTGTCTTTCATTTTTTTTCCACTTTAAAGTACAGCACTTTAGAGTGCAGAGGGTGCTTTAAAAAATAGTAGTATTACTGGTCAACTGACAACCAGCAGCTGAATATGAAATATGAGAGCTCTCATTCTCAGCTGCTGGCTGCCTGTTGCATTCCCATCTTGGCTTCCGTGAAAAATGGAGGTCAAACAGGTGAAAATAGGGGAGAGGGAAGTGTTTAAAATAGAACCAGGAGTGCTGCTTTTGAGAAGAATTGCAGGATTTAAGTCTACCTAAGCTGGCAACAGTACAAATGCAAGGATAAATAAAAAATTGGACCAGCATTCAAGCCCACAGGAGGTCCCCTGAGGGGAGAACTCCATAAGATTTACCCAAATCAATCTGAAGGTAGGTAGGTAGGGTAAATGCACTCCCTTTTCACACCAAGAACCCATCCACACAGAAGCTATGTGCCTATACCTCTCACTCCCAGCAAAACAGAGCAGCTCCAGTGGAGCCACACCACAACAGCCTCCTCCAGTTTGATTGCTTCTAAGGCTCCACTTAGGAGAAATCTCCCAGGTATAAAGAGGATCAATAGACAAGAAAATAAGCATTTAACAGAAAGGACTAGAGCTATCTTGCCCCTCCCCCATCAGTAAACTGATGAGGGAATAATCAGACTCCATCCATTTATCCTGCTTCTCCTGAATTCTAGCCCCCAGCTTCCCATCCTCCTCTCTTACCCAGTAGAGTGCTTAACTCCATGTAAAGCCCTTTGCAAAGTCTAAAGAAATGGTGGTGGTGCCGTTGAGGAGACCGAGTAGACCTGTACACAGAAGCTTTTTTGGGAGGCACAATCTGCCCTATTACATATGAGATTTACACAAAATATATCCTTTACAAATGAAGTTGTGTTATATTTTTCAGTATCAGACACTGTTTACCAAATGATTGGCTGTGCAACAAGTAGAAGATTGAGGTAGTTAGCCAGGTTAGTCTGAAGTCAGGCAGAAAGCAAATCAGGGTGGCACAGGTGCCATCCTGCCCTGCTTTCTGTGAAGTAGAAGGTCATTAAGAGCCATTAACTTACAACACCAAATGTGGATCTTGATTAGGAGGAGCCTAGTAGTCAACACTGATAGTGTGACAGTGCCCATGATCTTAGGCCATTTTGCCGGATGCAGAATAAACAACAAAAAGGTGATGGCATAGGAGACTGCATGGGCATGAGGAAAAATGTTACACATCAGGTTTTTGTGTGTTTATTTGAAAATGCTTCTTAATAAAAAATGTGTAGTTATATCAAGGTGTGCATCGATATCAAGATATCTCCTGTGATACTGAATGTTACCTTTGCTTTTACCCTCATGTCTTAAGGTCTACAGCAGCAGTTCCCAATCTGTGGTATGGGTACCACCAGTGGTATGCAGGCAACCTATCAGTGGTACGAGTTAACAGATTTATTATAATTACTTTATATGACAAAAATTTGCTGATGGTACTTAAGGTTGTATCATTTTAAATTGATGGTGTGCAACCTGCCAGAGTCTGGCAACCACCGATCTACAGGTATCTAAGATTTCTAGCTGAACCTTGCATGCCTAATGCCCGTGCACTAATCCAATTCTGTTGAAATCGTCATGAATTTCCAGAGAGGTGTTTGGCAACTCTGATGCACAAGGATGGATGTATTATCTTCTGAAGCATTTCTACCCATTTGAATTGGTTATGCAAATCCCCCTTTAAAAAGCCGTGGTCACTCCTTACCCACAATTTGCAACACCTCCTGCTGCTGCACATGTTTGCTTCTGAAATGTGTATTGAAGTGTGGACCTACAAAATAGATCTAATTTAGGAGGAAACTGCAGAAGAGGTTCAGCACTAGTGACAGCTCCTGGGTAACCACTGGTGTTTGCAGTGCTAAGGTAGGAGAGGGAAGGGGTGGGGCAAGGATGCTGGCAGCGTTAGAGGCAGATTCATGGTAAGAATCATCCTTCTGTTCACCACAAACCAGCTGAATGTAAAGGCTGAAATCTTGCTGATGCTCCACGCGGTAAATTTAAGACAAGCAGCCTTTGGCCCACGCGTGTTTAACATGGCGCGTCCCTTATTCACCGCCAGATGGGAGGGAGCCTGCCAGGGAAAAACCTAACGGAGGTGGCACCACCCCTGGCGTGACAGCTAAACGAGTCCTGGCTAAATCAGGATTTTAGCGATGCCCCGGTGACATGCCTGCCACTTCAGAAACTAGTCCCCATTGCCTGCCTGGGGGCTGGCGGCTACCTGGCTCGCTCTCCCCAAGAGGCTTGATGGAGATTTGCCTCGAGCCTCCCTGATGTGGAGCCCACCTTCCTCTTCCCTTTTCCCTCCTCCTCCTCCTCCTTCCCTCCCGCCTGCGGTGCTGCCTTCCCGAGCGGTGGCAGGCGCGCGGGGCAGCCCCCGCGGGGGAGCACCTGGCCCAGCTCGGCGGCGGCGGGGAGGGAAGGAGCAGGGCGGCTGCGGCGGGCTTGGGGATGCCTCGCACGTAGCTGCGGCAAGCTCCGCGGGTCTGATCCGAGCGGCGATGGTAATGAAGGGGCGGGGGGGGGTTCAAGGCGGCTCCAA